TTTTTTTTTTTTTTTTTTTTTTTTTTTTTTTTTTTTTTACAACGAACTGTTGATCTATTACTCAAATTTGAGGTGGTCCGGGAAGTCAGACTGGAATAGAACAACTAACATACAATAGTTCTTGATAAAAGGATCGAGCAGATCTAGCTAAAGAATTAGCTACACTATTATGCATTCTAAAAACATAGAAGATCTTAAAATCTGGAAAACAAATCTGCAGTGTCATGATCATTTCTAACTCTGTTGAGAAACTTGGCCAATCCTGAGGATCTCTAAGCATCGCGATTAACTCCTTGCAATCCGTCCCAAAGCTCTGACATGGCGAATGTTGAAGCATATTCTCCATTGCCCACAGCAGTGCTTCCGGCTCAGAGTGCAGAGCAGACTCCACTCTAGTTAAAATACGCATACCCATTAGCTGGCTATTTCCCATACTATCATTCCAAAGCCAGCCGCATCCACTGAATTGAGCTGTATGTGTCCAAGAACCGTCAATCATACATATGTCTCCCAGACTTATGGTCTGGTTGTCGATATTTATGTTCCCTTGATCTGATAATACAAACTGCTCATTTGCTTGGAACCAGGCTAGGCACTCACTCTCAGCATACCAGGCTAACTCCAGCGAGTCTCTATCGATACCTCTAAACATCTTATTATTTCGAGCCTTCCAGATATACCAGATTAGCCAGGGATACCGATCCCTGTCCATTTCGGCTCCATTATAGTATTTTTCCTCCAGAAAAGGTAATCCATATTTGCATATGTGCTTTGTACTAGGAACAAGGTAGGGCTGGAAGGTGTAGAAGATAAGGCCCAAACTTGCATTGCAGGCGGGCACTGAAAGTTTGCATGTGCAACCGTTTCTTCTGGCTCCCCACATCATGGACAGTGGTTATCACATCTCATATGACGATAGTTCAAAGTACTTGTAACAGCCACATGACATATTATTAATTGCCACATAAGATGACATATCTTCTGCGGTGCCTTAAACTTCCAAGCATGTGCTTGGAGTTTTGTAATGCTAGATTCACAAACTACAGCTTCTTCCTCATTCTTCAGTATATTTCGTGCAATCCAATATCCAGATTTGACTGTATACTGTCCATTTCTTGTATAACTCCAGCAATACTGGTCCCTGCGATGTGTTGCACTAATCGCCATGCTTCTAATAAGTGGTATATCAGCCGCATCTATGTAGTTCTCCAGCCGGTTCAGATCCCAAGCCTTCGTTTCTTGGTTAATGAGGTCGCTCACTCGCATATTCGGATATAATACTGGTCCAGATGGAACCGCTGACCGCACTGGAATGGTAGGGATCCATGGATCCTCCCATACTCTTACCTCATATCCTGAGTGTATTTTCTGTCTAATCCCCAACATTAATAATTCTCAAGCCGCTGATATACTTGTCCACACATACGATGGGCTACTGACAGTGAGCTGTCGCAATGGTGAGCTTGATCGATAATACCAGCCTCTCAAAACTCGAGCTACCAATGAGTCTGGGAATTGAGCCAACCTCCATAACTGCTTCGCTAACAGCGCCAGGTTAAATTCATGGATCATTCTAAACCCAATCCCTCATTTCTCTTTAGATAAGCATAACTTATCCCATGTTGACCAGAGAATACCTCTCTTTGGGGGATTCGAACTCCACCAGAACTGTGCAATGGACCTAGCTAAAGCATCACAAATCTTCAATGGAAGAAGGAAATAGAACATCACGTAAATCGGGAGCGCTAACAAGATATACTTAATCATAACTTCCTTACCACCTTTTGATAGCCATCGACTCGTCCATCCATTCACTCTATTTCGTAGCTTATCCTTTAAGAATGCAAAAAGTTTGCATTTAGATCCACTGATATCCTCTGGGATTCCTAAGTATGTCCTCATCCCTCCTTCATTCTGAATCCCAAGTGTGTTCTTAATCTCTTGCCTAGCATCTTGTCCTATTCTCTTACCAAAGAGTAGAGATGATTTATCAAAATTGATGCATTGTCTTGAAACTTGTCCATATTTTCTCACCACTCTTATTACTTCTTCACATTCACATTTAAGGGACAATGTCGACACAAGAGACAAGGATAGAAGAAACGTGGAAAGGGAAGAGTACTCTTAGGTCCAACATGTTTTATAACATATCAAATAATCTAAAAATATGTTATAGAACATATCAAATTAACATGTTTTATAACATGTTTTACTGTATATATATATATATAATAATATTTATTCTATTTATTTGATCTAAAGTTTAAAATGTAACTTATAATCATAATTTTGATGAAAATATATTATATTAAGTTTATATATTCTATTTTTTATGTGTTTATAAGGTTCTAAATATGAAAATATAGTAATGTTATATACAGATAAGATTAACATGTTTTATAACATATCAAATAATCTAAAAATATATGGGGTTATCGTTGCTAACAAAAAGTATGACCGTGGTGGACTTTCTACCTCTGGTTGAGAAGATCAAGAAAAGAATTGGAACTTGGACATGACGTTTTCTGTCCTATGCAAGTTGACTTCAACTGATAAACTTTGTTATTATGAGTCTCACTAATTTCTGGATGGTTGCATTCCGATTACCAAGTGGCTGTATTCATGAAATAGAAAGACTTTGCTCAGCTTTCTTGTGGTCTGGTGTTGAGTTAAATAGTAGGAAGGCAAAAGTCACCTGGAAGTAAGTATGTAGAACAAAGCAAGAAGGGGGCTTGGGTATCAGATCATTAACGGAGATGAATGTGGTTAGTATTCTGAAGCTTTTATGGAGAATCCTCTCTTCAGATTCACTTTAAGTCAGATGGATAACGATATATCTCATTCACAAGGGTTCGATATGGTCCATCAAAGAAAATTCACAACTGGGGTCTTGGATTTGGAGAAAAATTCTGAAATATCGAGAGAAAGCAAAGATGTTTTATAAGTGGCAAAAAAGCATCCTTTTAGCATGATAAATGGTCTCCACTTGGTCGGATAATAAAGTTGCTGGGAAATGGTGGGTATATAGAGATGGGTATAGCAGCTAATGCTAAGGTTGAGGATCGTAGAAGCCACAAAAGAAGGCACCATCGAAATCAGATTCTGAATAGAGTTGAGTTTGAGGTTGAGAATTTTAAAGAAAGGGGGAGGTTTGAGGAGGAAGATATCTCATTATGGTGGAATGGGAATGATAAGTATAGGGAGAGGTTCTCAACAAATGAAACTTGGCGAGTTATAAGAGAGAAATATCAAGTGTATGATTGGCATAAGGCGGTCTGGTTCAAAAATGGCATGCCTAAGTTTTCTTTCATAGTCTGGATTGCTATGCGTGACAACAAGGAGTATAATGGCGCAATGGGGTATGAATATTAACACCTCTTGCAGGTTTTGTCAAGAACCTATGGATCTATTGCCCATCTCTTTTTGAGTGTCCATATTCTGAGCAAGTTTGAGAAGCTCTGGCGAAGGGGGTTCTCAAAGATCAATATACGACAAGTAGGCATTAAAAGGATCATCACTGATGAAAATCAAGATAAACTTCTTCTGTTCACAACCAGATATTTGTTCCAAAGCAATTGTACACAGTATTTGGCAAGAAAGAAATACAAGAAGGCATGGAGAAGCACCTTCATTACCAGCTCTTTTTGAGAAGTTGATTGATAAGATTATGAGAAATAAATTCTCTATAGTCAAGAGAAAAGATAGGAAGCTAGAAGAAGAGTTGTGGTTCTGGTTTTCAACAAAACAAAGCTAATATGGAGATGGGTTTTGGTTGAAAATAGAATTTTATTTGGATTTTAAAAAAAAAAATTGTATAGAAATTATAAGAAAGGACACACATAGTTGTAATTAGGTCTTTTTCTTTTGAATTAAATTTAATATTCAATTGAAAAAATAATAATCTAAAATATTATTTTTTATAATTTTTGCTTGATTTCTGATTTTCTCTCTATGCACTAAGGGTTTGACTGGTTACAACGTAGCGATTGCGGTTATGGTTGTGGGTGTTTGCGGATGCGAGAGATTGTGGTTTTTAACGTTAGTAAGAGATTTATACGACTGGTTCAATGGTTAAAAATTGTTGCGTTTACGGGATACTTATGACTGGTTTATCATCAAATACAACAGCGGTTAAGTAATAAATTAACAATATTTATATTTTATATAATTATCAAAATATTAAAATCATATTTTCATGATAAATATAAAAATTTATTGAAAAATGCACTATTAGATTTTTTAAAAAATTAAAAGAAAATATTTTTTGGAAATTTATAATATAAATATTTCAGTATTTCAATTATTTTAATTTAAAATTTTAATTGAATATTTTATTTTTATATTTGTTTAGTTTTCTGGAAAAAAAAATTTATCCTCCCGTAAACGCCAGCTGAAATCAGCTTTTGAATTTTAGAGATTCAGAGCAATTTGAAGCGGTTTAAAACGTTTTCTGTGATTGTTACAAAACGCCAGTAATCGTTACCAACCGCAAAAGCTACGTTTGCGGGTGATGGTGGGATAACCAGTCAGGTCTTAAGTCCAACCCTAGCATCTGATTAGCGTGTTCCTAAACAAAGGGATTACTCCCAACAGAAAAGAGGTAGAATAAGGATAGAGCCCACAAACAATTTTCTCTGGCGCAAACCAAACCGTCACATGTTAGCGAGGGTTTGGCATCGTATATGGACCACATCGATCTCCTCTGCGCTGTACTACTTACTAAAATATTGTTTTCAAAAATTCTAGTAAAAGTACACATCTCAACTAGCCACAAATACAATGATTAGTGTTGAAGGAAGTATGGAGCTATACTACTTTTCTATTCCAAAAGTTAATACAAAATATAAAAAAAGTTCAAAAGAAGCATATATAGATCCCAATATATCCATCACAGCCGCACATCTCGAGAATGTAACGCCACGAAATTAATCTACACCTTTAGATTAAAATATTAATTATTTATTCCATTATTTCTGAAGTTAATAAAAGCTTCCTTTTCCGCAATTAGCTAACATCATTCGCCACACTAACACATTAGAGAGACAAGACGCGCTTCAGTTCCGAATCAAGCTAGAGATTCTCCGATGCCTTCAGCGACAAGATGGTGGCCAATCCACTTAACTTCATCTGGATCTGAGCCTGGTTACAGAAGCTGGCGCTGGCTGAGCTGGAGTCGACCGGAGCTGAGTTTCTTGTCCGTAATGGTGGACGACGTTGTGTGGAAAGTAGTAATGGCGTTCGAATCGGTGGCTTTGGTCTCGATGCTTGGTTTCTTCTTCCTCTTCTACGGCTGCACCGTCTGATTTTGAATTTCACTTAAGATATTTTTTTTGTTTACTGCTGGAGAGTTTTGTATTTCTTTTATTTGTTATTAATTTTTGCTTATCCTTGTAATTTTATCTTCCACTGTATGCTAGTTGGTTATGCTACGGCGGAGATACTGATGCTGTGTTTCAAAGAAGCGCGTGATTCCCACTCGCGTCTCGCTTTAGTTTGGTTTTCTTTTTTTTTGTAACTGTAGTTTGTTTTAGTTTTGGTTTCTCGTTCGCAAATCGCAATGAACGTATCGTGTTATGTTTTTGGTAGTTTATATTCAAATCCTCCAAAACTATAAAAAGTCTATGTTCATCAGTATGATTTCATTTTCTAAGTATTTTCATAATTTAATTTTTTTAAACGAAACGGGATTGGTTTTTGACTTTGAGTTTGAGATGTGTGTTAATAATATGAAAGGCGGTAATGTGATTTTTATTCAACGATTAGGTAGGTCACCTAATTACTCTTTGAAGCGAAATCAAATGTTAAAAGGACAACGCGGGAAAATACACAAGTTTATTTGATTTGGGCTGTAATGGGCTTGGGCCGTTTAAAACAAACAACCGGGGCGTCTTCCTCGCTTTTGATGAACCGACGTCGTACTCGTATAGTCCGTCAAAAACCCCGTCTCTCGCTAAGTTGTATACAAGGAAGAAGCTTTCGTCGGCGCCTGAGACTGTTGAGAAAGAAACTTCGACAATGGCGTGGATGCAATTAATACAGAGCGCGAGATCTGTTCTAAGGACCACACAACCTTCCTCAACTCTAATCCCCTCTAGATTCTATTCCAAACCCGCTCCTTACGCAGGTAACCAATCGATTTCGCTTCTGTATCGATTCGTTACTATAAATCTCCTTGGTGTTCGAATACTAGTGAAATAATTATTTGGTGGGTTTTTACTGGTTTCAGTTTTTATAATGAAAAGGAATCATTTTTATTATTTTTTTCACTGTTTTCAGTTTTCAGACATCTTTTGGACGACATTGTCTTATTGGATTTGATGTTTTTTTGCAGTGAAGGTTGGGATACCTGAGTTCTTGAGTGGGATTGGTGGAGGAGTTGAGACCCACGTTGCTAAACTTGAAACTGAGTTAGGTGATCTTTCGAAACTGCTAGTGACTCGTACCCTCAAGCTCAAGAAGTTTGGCATCCCTTGCAAACATGTAAGTAAACAAGTCTCTGCTCTGCTCTACCTTTTACACAGAGATTTCAATGGGCGTTCGGTTTTATTTTGTTAAAATTTATGTTAGGAATGAAGTAATCTGCTACCGTGAACTTGTTAGGTTACGTTATTTAGTGGAAGTAACTATGCAAGTTAAGGAGAAAAGTTGAGTTTCTTGAACTTTTTCAGGCACAAAGAGATTGATAGAGATGTATAGTTCTATTCTCCACAGTTTCTGTCACTCACTAAGACATCTCTCTTTTCATATAAATGTTGATAGGTTTATTGAACAACACATCAAATCTTTTGATTTGCTTACTTCAAATTCTTCATATTAGCTTATATTTGGCTTGATCATGATTTTTTTTTATAATATTTTTGGGACTATTTTATTTTTTTTTTGTTTTTGCAGAGGAAGCTGATACTGAAGTATAGCCATAAATACAGGCTAGGGCTATGGAAACCTAGAGCTGACGCTATAAAGGCGTGATTGGACCGTATTGTGAGTCTCTGTAATGCGTGTGGTTTCGCTACTGAAATGAGTTGTTCTCAGAATGATCTTAGGCATAGCAATGTTGCCAATCACTTGAAACTCAGTACTTATTTTTCTGCATTCATGTACTTGTTATCTCCATGAGTCTAGAAACAATAAAGCCATGCTTGAAAATCCTAAAGCAGTATGTTTTTGAAGTGGTGGATGTATTTTATTTTGGGCCTCTCCCTGTATCAAGACTGCCTTCAAAGTTCCTTATGCTCAGTTTCATTCTACTTCTAAATCGCCTGATAGATCATGAAAATACTGAAAGGTTGTCCACAAGGTTACATGATCAGAGAGTCCGGTCTTGTGTGTTTTCGTTCAAGTTATGATTTCGTTGAGCTCACGGGTCTAAATTTAACCGCATAAACTTTCGGTTCTTGGGGCTCACAAATTGATTGGTGTCCCAGTTGTTGAGAACCAAACTATTGTCCAGTTTTGACTTCGTGGCCAACCACTGGTCCTTTATCAGTTTTGGGCTCATTCCATCTACCAAGTGTCTTAGGCATATTTTACAAGTCGTTTATCATATCCACCAATCTAATCTTTTGAGTTATGATCCCTAAACTTTCTTATCAAACAAAAAAAAAAGTAACAAAAGATATCAATTTATTTCTATTTTCTCTCCACTTAAAGAAAGAGACTGTATTTACTAAAGTTGGTTCAGTCATATCTTCCCACATAATATTTTTTTAGATTGTACTAAATTTATTAATTGTTATAATATAATTAAGAGCCATTTGCACCATAAATCACTTGAAAGTGAATAATTTTGAAAGTGAATAATTTGCACCTATGGATAATATACCGGCACAAAAGAGAAGTCCGTGTGGTGTGGTATGGAAAAGACAACGAAGTCCTTTTGCTTCTACTTTTGCATGACGCGATAGACTGAAATTTTGGGCCTCGTTATGTGCGTAAGTACGCGTGAGGAGTCGGAGGGTTTTTAAGTGTTACCATGCAAGTAATCATTGGCAAAACTGTATGTACACAACACATATATCGGAGTAGCTTCCTTAAGCGAGTGTAGCCGACCATTCTGACCTATAGAAACACATAAAAAAACGTAAACTTTTCACTGTAAGGACACAGTATATTGTGCATGTTAGCCAAGCATGAAATATAACGATATGTATTGTATAGGCTTAGGTTTATATAAGGAGAGCACAATGAATGAAGATTCATCAACTTAACTATCGCTTTTAAAAGCTTCAGCGTCTTTACTGTCAGTCTGAACAAAATCTCCAAGTTGTTCGTTTCTGGAAAAAAAAATTCAGGTGATTTATGAGGAACATTTATTTAATCTCGCATGTTGTTTTGGATAATGAAGATAATAACTTCATTACTATCTTATGCATGTCGATTTATTATAGGATCCAATGTTTCTATCGTCCTTGTTGTCTATGATTTAATTATTGACGTTATAAATGTTGTCCATCAATGTCATTAATGGATGTTTTTCTTTTTTTATAGGTGGTTAAGATGGGAAAGCTTGTACGACTTTGGCGTGGTGAATGGTTCAAAGATAACACCGGTGCTTGGAACTTCCATGCTGATCCAGCAGACTTTGGGTTTGGGGCGATGATCAGGGACAACGAGACGTATGAATCATTGCTTGACACGGTGAGGATGAGATATGTTGTGGGCTTCGGTACACCGGTGGTAATATCTTACCAGTTCCCGTCGTGGATACTTGGGACGTTGGGGAGAAGGTCGGTGCCGATTAGCATAACGACAACAACATACATACCCGTGATGCTTAGTGTGAGGGAATGGTTCACTGAGCTGATCTTAGTGGTGACGATCGGAGCTGAAGCCGTTGCTAGATTCCACTTCAACCGTAGGGACAACTTTGACGTAGGAAGGAGGAGGTTTGTTGTTGACGATAGTCAAAACGCATTTCACCGGGTAGATTATGAAAGTAAGTGTGCGTTTTTTTTTGTGTGTCTTATTCATTATGATTAATGTAATTTTTAATATGACGACCGGTGTTCATACGATTATATAAATTTCAGGGTTTGTTGTGGGGAGGAGGATGAAGTGCAACTTAGATGTGCTTAGAGAGATTTTTAATGAGCAAGGTATGATGGTTCTCCATCGGGTTGGCCTTGAAATGGACCTTGCCGACGCTGTTCAACGTCAAAATGAGAGGAGGTATGAAGCTATTGCGCGAGAAATAATAGAAATAGAGGAAGAAGACGATGACATGGCTGAGGCACAACCTGTGGTGGTATCAGGCGCTGAAGGTATGCAACTGTTTTTCTGTTAGACTTACTTAACTGGCAGTAAAGGTGACGGGACAAATCATGTGGATATTCAGTTTTTTTAAAAAAAAATAGTGTATCTTTGCATTGAACAAGTTTCAGAATGTTTTGATTTTAGGTATTTCTGTCCATCCAGACGGATATTTAATTGATTGGCAAAACATTATTTAACTTATTCAAGAAAAAAAATCATTGTCACGGTTATGTTTTAAAAATTGCTGCAATGTAGAAGTATTTCCGGCTATACATGCATTTAACCGGTAATTTTACTTGTGTGTGCTTAAAAGCTTTTTAGATCCATGGTGACTGATATGTTTTAAAATATACAGCAATTTTAGAATATTTCTTCGTATAAATAGATTTATACAACTACTTTGAGAGTATTTGCCTATATACATACACTTATTTGGTTGGATACTGTTTTTTTTTTTATTAGCTGGAGTAGTGGGACAAGCACCGACAACCGTGACACCAAAGATTGACCTAACTCAGGAAGTTGATGGTTTACAAGCAACCGAGGAGGTTGCACCGGCGGAAAATACGGCAGCACCAGGGAGGGCGATGGAGACTATAATGGAAATTTGGGAGGCTCTGATGGGAGATGAAGAATTCAAGGACGCTGAAGGTGGTGTTGATAGTGAGGCGGCCGCGGAGGAAGCAGCTCATGTTACTGGAGCAAATGGCCTTTCAACTGAAGGAACAGCTGTTGTAGATGATAAAGAAGTTTCGTCTACCGGCTCATGTGAGGAATTGGACGTGGTTGTTGCTGCACCTGCACACATGGAAGAACGGCCAAAAATGGAAAAGGAGGCCAATGTAACAGAGAATGGAAACAACTTACTTACCGCATTTGAGAGGTTTATGGGTAATGATAAGAAAACACTATTATTTACTATGGGTTTTAAAATTATTGCGATATGGAAAGAGACTGATTTTCATAATGATTTCTTTTGAAGCCACACGAGAGAAGGGTTGTATGATGTTGGCTAAAGAGGGGGAACAGTCGCAGCACCCGGTTTCAGAAAGGGACAGTTCAAAGGGCAAGGGTATTGCCAATTCACCCCCCCCCCCACTTGGATTCACAATCGGTTGTGTTGGGAAAGCAGATGACCCCGGGGAGAAAGAGATGCACACACCTACCATCAAATCGTCTTCTGATGGGAGTGGTGATGATGGGGGGTTTTAGGAATAATTGTTTGCATTTCATCAAAATAAAAAAATTATCTGGTTTTAAGTTATGGGTATCTGAATAACTATGACGGCTACTATTTCTAATGTTACGGCTATTAGGTATCGTGTGACGGCTATGTCTTAATGTTAATCGGGGCTTGGAATACCATTTTTAACTTGTAGTGTACTACCAAGCTATTTTAAGCTATTGTTGTGGTTTGTATCAAATATTAGTAGACGGCTATGTAATGCTAAGTTTATTTTTATGAAACTTGATGATTTCGGTTGTTCACCTTAGGTGTGATGTTTTACGCTAAAAAAATCATGATCACATCTTAAAAACTCAAACTAGAAAATGAATTTGAAAAGCGATTAAAATGATCATGAAATTGACAATTATTGTTTGCATGGTAACGTTAGAAAAATCATCAAGTAAGACACTATGTTTTTACATTTGTTGGCCGGATATGGTGTAAGCAACTAATTTTTTCTATTTGTTAGCCGGTTGTGGTGTCCATTTGTAGTCTATTTCAATGAAACATTAATCAAGTTATTGAGTTGCATTGAATCTAAAACATTATTTTAATCAAAACCTTATGATTGTGCGCAGGATTTGTGGGCCCTCAAGATAAAGAACCTTACGTTGGGAGGATTTTCAAAAATAGAGAAGATTTCAAGCAACATATGGCTTTGTATGCGATCACAAACAAATTCGTTTACCGTTGTGCAAGATCATCGCCTTCAGTTATGTCACTGGAATGTTGTGGTGAAGATTGTCAATGGCAGGTGTATGCAGGAATTGTAAAAGGCTCTGACATGTATGAAGTTCGAAAGATGGGAGGAACGCACAGTTGTAGTGTGGATGAACGTTCCGGATACCAAAAACAAGCGACATCAAGCGTCATTGGAGAACTGTTGAAACAACAGTTCACGGGAACGGGTGTTGGTCCCCGACCAAAAGGTATTAGACAGGTGATGCGGGGGGATCATGCTGTTAACATTTCATATTGGAAAGCTTGGCGGTCACGAGAAACTGCGGTTGACATTGCAAAAGGGTCTTGTGGATCTTCTTACCACAACCTACCTACCTATCTGCAGAGGCTGGTTGAGTCTAATCCAGGAACAATAACAAAAATTGATACATAGTACATTGAGGGATTTGGCCACCATTTCAAATACATGTTTGTGGCTATGGGAGCTTGTGTCAAGGGTTTTGGTTTTATGAGGAAAGTAGTTGTAATAGATGGGACTCATTTGCGAGGGAAGTACGCAGGGTGTCTCTTACCCGCCTCGGCTCAAGATGGAAACTATCAAATTTATCCATTAGCCTTTGCTGTTGTCGATGGGGAAAACGACAAATCATGGGAGTGGTTTTTCGAGAAGCTGTCGACGTTCGTACCTAACGATAAAGATGTGGTATTCGTTTCTGATAGACATGCGTCGATTCTGAAAGGACTAAACAAGGTAAAAATTGTTTATTTTATTAAATATCCTTAAATGAGTATTGTTGGATTGCTAACAATTAAATTATCCAAAGTAATAAATTTACTAATTATTTATGGGGTTTGCTTTTTACATCCTGTAGGTTTATCCAGCTGCTGGGCATGGAGCATGCATTATCCATCTGAAAAGGAACATTCGAACCATCTTCAAACAGAGACAACTTGGTTAACTAGTCTCCAAAGCAGCTAGATCATTCAGGGTGGGGGAGTTTAACACCATTTTTACTGAAATTGCGTCTATCAACAAAGAGTGTGCTGACTACCTATTAGGCATAGGTCTATAAGAGTGGAAAAGGTCTCATTTCCAAGGTGATCGCTACAACATCATGACAAGTAACCTTGCAGAATCGTGGAATTCGGTTTTGCGCGAAGCACGTGAGTATCCAATTGTAGCATTGGTGGAGTTCATTAGGGCGAAGCTTATGAGCTGGTTCGCGGAGCGAAGGGATTCAATTAAGGGAATGGATGCCGGTGTGACTCCGAAGGTGAGTAGTTTGCTTTCCGCAAACTTTGAAATATGTGGTGGGTATGCTGTAAGGAAGGTGGATCTGAATGAGTATGAGGTTCATGATCTAAAGGGAGATTCATTCGTCGTCAGTCTGTCGGATGAAAAGTGCTCATGCTTAGAATTTGAAAAGCTAAGAATTCCATGTCCACATGCAATTGCAGCTGCATTATCAGCTAAAGTTGGGGTGGAGGGACTCGTGGATGAGGTTTATACGATACAATATCTTAAAGAAGCATATAACAATCATATATTGCCACCTGTCGACTTGGATGACACGTATCAGCTTGCGTCTGAAGTAGCTGCATTATTTCTGAATCCACCGGCTACGAGACGACCACCAGGAAGGCCAAGGAAGAAGAGTTTCTTCTCACGTGACAAAATTTGGGTAAGGTCATAAAAATACACACTCGTGTTGCCTTGATTATTATAGGGCCAATCTTATTTATTGTCCATATTCTGGCAAACTTGAAGATTGTAAGGCTACTCTTATTATTAGTTATAATAGTATCACTAATTCTTGCAGATGAAGAAGATCGGTAGAAGGTATTGTAGCCGGTGCAAGGGCATGGGTCATAACCGTGCTACATGTAAAGAAGCAATATAAGACGAATCTATAATATTAAAACTCAAGTACTTTTTGGTACTGTTTGGAAACAAGGATAGCAATATTATGAATAGCAGATTAAGTACTTCTTTTTTACTTGCACATTTAGCCATTCCTTTTACAATAAATTAAATTCTTTCTTTTTGTATTTTTTTTTATTTACAGATTCTGCCATTGCATTTAAATTAATATAAATTAATCAATTACAATGGTTTTTTTGGTGAAAATAAAAACACAAATTGAAATATAAATATAGTATTACCTTATTTGATTTAGTTAAATATAAAATTTCGAGAGTTCAGTTTAAAAAAAAAAACAAAAATCAGAAAATTAATGATAATTCATAGAAAACAAATGGAAAAAAAATAATTTTTAGTATGTTGTTTCATTTTAAAATAAATTAACAAAACAAAACAACATGTTATACATTACATAAAATTGCATCAAGTTATAAAATTTCTAATATAATATTATGTACAAATAAAAAACATATTATTAAACGTTTAAATTATAAAATAATATATTTTACTCTATATGTAAATTACTAAACATAAAAAACATAATGTTTTTATAAAACCAATGATTTATGAATTTATATAGAAAAAAAATTAAATCAAACACCCGCACGGGGGTGCGGGTCAAGTTCTAATAATGATGTAAAAGAGTAGTGCTGATGCGATGGGTTGATGTGGACTAAGAAGTTGGTTGCTTTGGGTTTATAATACACATGTTTCTTTTCTTCCAATGTTATCGAATGTTCCAGACAATAAGTGTTTAAATCCAAAGTAGTGTTGGTGGGAAAATGTATGAAATCGCATTATATAAAAAAAAATAAAGCATTCACTTCTATTATCCGGATAAGTTGTGTAAAATATGGATAAGTAATCTGCCGTGGTGACCTGTTGGATGGCTAAATGTGTAGCTTAAAATGGGTAACCTTAGGTTGGTGGGAAAAATGGAAGAAATCTATATAGTGTAATTAGACAGATAAACTTTAAACTTAGACGAATACGCGAAGTTCAGGACAGGATATTCAAAGTGAGAAAACGTAAGACGGCTATTCAAGTTGGGTTGGACGGGCTATCTAATTTGACGTGATGAGCGGTTAATTAGGCGACTAGGTATGTAGCAGAAATGGTTAAACTGTGGTTTGGTCAGTAAACCGGGACATATTTTCCGTTCAACATATGAAAAAACTTAGAAACAAAAACTAAAATATCCATACATTTCATATAATTGCTAGAAAATTAATCATCTACTCGTACTAGGCGTTATGAACAACAAAAGGACAATTATATTGCCAGAAAACCCAGGCTGAACACAAAGAGAGATATACTAATTGCCCCGGAAGCATTTGAAGATGAGATCCTTCCAGTTGAAAACATGGGTGTTAAGAGGTGATTTTTGTTTCCCGAGAATCACAAGCTCGTCGCGTAAGGTAGCTAGGTCATTCTTTAATTGCTCGATCTCTATCGTTTTCCTCTTAATTTCATCACGTGCTTCGATGAGTGACCTCTTGGCCCAACCAACGACTTCTCCTTTATCGTACTAGGTGAAGAAGTTGCATCCGTCATGCTATCATGAATAGGATGTCGAGAAAATTGTATGAATCTTTGTTGCAGTAACTACGAATCTGGAAGAAAATGACTAACCTGGTATCGATCGCAGCCATAAAACAATCTTCCGGGGTTTTGATTGGTCCACGACTTTCTGACTGGTGCAGGTAGGCCACAGTAACAAAACTTGGTTCGATTAACACGTCCAGCATTAGATGAGGAAGATCCTGATGAGTCCATGGCTTCGATGTGCTTCGCTTGAGAATGTGTGGTTGAGAGTCAATGTTTGATATAAACGAAGAGTGTTTCCTATTTAATATAGAGAATCTCAAAAAATCAAAAAAAAAATTTAATTACGGTAACAAGCCGGTAACAAAAAAAAAATTGTTCAGAGCTGGTTAACCCCGGTTATATTATGAAATCGTTTGCTACTAAAATGGCAAGATCGACAATCGACTTTTTAGTGGTTCGTAGAGGAGCTGGTATACAAAGTTTCTAGACTAAAACATATAAAGATGCGGAAACGGTTATTTAGCAATGCAGATAGCCAAAGTTATAAAAACATGAGGATCCGGTTATTGAACAACATAAATTGATGGTTGGAATAGTGCCCGTTGGTGGCTGCACCTCTGTTACTCCAGCGACGGGCGCATTGTCGAATAGGTCGCTTTCGTGTGTAGGAACGAATCCCTTATGCTGTAATGTACCGATTGAGTCAATGATACTCTTGAGGCTGAGCTGAAATGAGTTGAACTGAACAAAGCTGTCGGACATGTGCTTTTTTATTACCTCCTGCAGCTGGTTGAAAGATACACGTAATTCTTCAACTTTACCTTCCACCCTAAGAATGTCATCTTTAAAAATGTGTTGACCCACTGCAGGGACGTTGGCTGGGGTAATGTTAATAGGCGGATGACTTGTACTTTTCCTCTTCCTTTTTCTCCTTGCTTGAGCTGCGGCATCGGCTTCTACGCGCATGCGGTCAACGTCAGCCTGTGTAGCTCCACCTCTAAACATCTCATTACTGAAGCGTTTGCCATCTTTGATAAGTCTGACCATATTTTTTACTCGTTCATCCTCTTCATCTTCCTCAAAACATAACTCCGCCTCTTGGATATCAAAACCAGAGTCATTGGGTATGATAGGTGTTACGATAACCTACAAACACATAAAATAGATTTTTGTTAGCCATCTACAGCCTGTCCAAGTGGGGTACATAAATAAAATTGAACGTGAAATATGCCGATTATCTAGGTGGTGTACAATAACTAATAGTTGGCCGTATATTATTTAAATTAACAAAAAAGTAGGGTTTAAGTGTTGCTTACGTTTTTGGCATTATCCAAAGTACTGCGTGTCCTAGCTTAATACCATTTCTAGGGGGAGTTATTGAGAAATCATCGTCCTCAGGACCAAGATTCTCTGTAGAATCGTTGCGGAAAACTTCAGTGAGTGCCGGGACTGCTTTGATCATGACCATTTGAAGAGATTGTACGTACCCAGGGAGAGCGATAGTGCTTTGTGAAAGTGAAATCTTGCCTCTTTCCTTTATGCTATTTATAAGCATCTCAAAAGATAAACGGCCCCAAGGATACGAGAAGAACTCATTAAGACTCGATTCTTTCGGCATGGTCTACAGATATTTGCGGTGTGTGTGTTGTGGGAAGAATCACAGTAGCAAGCATTGCTAGTAGGGCGTACTTTATCCTCGTGTCGGAAGATGTGACAGTCTTGCGTTTGAGCATCATAATAACCGATGCCACGCTCACTTCCTTAAGCATCCCGAAAAGAGAGTTGTAATACGGCTGCTCCGAAATAAGATTCTTAATGACTTTCGTCGAAGGACTAGGGTATTTTCCACACGGGAGGCCCGTGACAATAGCGAACTCTCTCAGAGAAAATCTTATTGGGTTTTAAGCGAATAAAAACCTAGACTCATGCTTTTTTTTTATCTTCAGCTGACGAGATAACATGTATCTACCTAGCCGGCCGGAGTATGTTGTCTGGTTTGCAAGCTCAAGAAACTTCCCAAACGATGAAGACTTAATAACTTGGATTTCGTCTGAGTTCATAGTGTAATATTTTTCTAAGACCGCCGGGTTTGTGGTATGGAGTAACTCTCAAACCAATTGGTTCTTCGCCGGCAGAGAAAATGCGATGTGGTAGATATACGTCATCCATTACTGCAATAAAGGAAAAAACTTATAATCTATACTATTAAAGCAGATGACTGTTTATGAATCTGCCCCTGAATTTTCCAATTAATTATAAAAGTTGCCTAAACCTTTCCTTTTAAAAAAGAAAAATGGTTTTAGGACATTTAAAGCCCATTCCGATTTTTGTAAATGGTTTTAGGACATTTAAAGCCAATTAGATTAGAAATTAATGTTTCTGTCCAGCTAAACAAAACAACCCAAAAATAAGCTAGATCAGAAATATTTAAACAAAACAGCCCATTAGATTTTATATCAGATTTTAAATAACTGCAGAATAATTCTTTTAAATATATTTCAATCTTAAAAGTATATACAAAACAGATTAACATTAGATATTTTCGATACTATGAAAATATACTATATTCCAAATCTACTTAAATCGCGGATGCATGTATTTTTATAACTAATCAAATAATTATATATATTTCTTAAATATATTCTAATTTTAAAAATATATCCAAAACAGATTTTACATTAGTTATGTTTGTTTAAAAAGAAGAGATACTATAAAAATATACTATATTCCAAATCTACTTAAATTGTAGATGTGGGTGCAGGTCAGATGTATTTTATATGGGATAGGTGCGGGTTGGTTGAAATTGAATCGCGGGTACCAGCCAGCCCACAAAATTAAAAAAAAAACAAGTTTTTTGAAATGGTTATTTAAAAAAAAAACTAATTTCGATAAAAATAAGAAAATAAGGAATTATTTTAAATAAATATATATATATATATATATATATTAGTTATAAATATATTTGCTTAAAATTAAATAAAATAATTATCCACAGGTCTTGCGGGAAGCGGAGTGGGAAGAGGGAGTGTAATATTTTCTTCTTACTGGTTGGTCATGCATGTAAATTTTTTGAGTAAAAAAATGACTCAACCCACAACGGGATAGATCGTACTAGGCGTGTTTGATCCGATTCCAACGCTAACTTTCTATAACTGGAACTCCAAATACTCTTCAAATCTGTAATGAAAGTTCAACCATATATATAAACATGAATTACACATATATATAAAATTTAGAAAGGAAAAATAACCGCGCTTTAAAAGCGCGGGTCAAAATCTAGTAAGTGCTTAAAACAGAGATGGAAATTAGTTTTGTATTGATCCAAAAAAAAACAAGAAAGGAATTATCAGTGGGAAAAGGAAGAGACTTGGTAAAAGACGATACCTTTGAGAGACCGTTGATGGATTCCAACAAAATTAGGGTTATCGTGGACTAGATCGGTCTGTTAAGACCAATAATCAGGGTTGATTTTAGAATAGAGGTCAAGATAAGAAGAGCGATAACTAGGGATTTTATGTAAAACATTTTATAAAGATGTAAAAACTTCCGGAGAAACCAAAGAGGTTTAGATAACCGTGATTGCTTTTCTCGAAACTGTAAGAACGTCGATAATCGTGCTTGCTGGTATAATAACTGGTCGCGCGTGTAAGAACTTGCTGCGAGTGATATAGTTAATCGGAGTTGATGTACAACTAATTAAATATAGGGGCGATGTCGACATTAAAAAAAAGACAACTCCATAAATTGCATAAATCCATCAACGCAAATTATAGAGTTATCGGTGTATACCTAGTGCAAATTCTCTATAATTAACCAAATAATTGAACGTGATAAGAATTTCAATTATAGTAATACTAGGGAAAACCCGTCCTACGGACGGGTAAGTGAATAAATAAATATATAAAAATTATATAAATCTGAAATAGTATTTGTAATATAAATATAATTTTGCAATATCAATTTTTTCTATTTTTTATTTTAAAGATACTATATGTATATTCACCATTAAAAGAATCATGAAAAGGTAATAATTTTACATATTTATTTTAATCTTAATTCTGATAGTAATTATCTATTTTTTTAGAAACTTGTGATATATGAGTTAAATTCACAGAATATAATATCTGGTGCCACTTAGATTTTGATTAAAGTTTTTGAGCTGAAACGACGGTAAGATTGATGACGGTAGGCCAAATGAAATTCACAGAATAATAGCTGGTGCCACTTATGGTATAAATATTGAGATGGCCGGTTCATCTATGGTTGCCTAATACTCTTAAAAGTTAATACAGAGATCTTAAAAAGACAATACATGGTTTTTATATTCAATCAAAGTAGATGACTAAGACTATGTCGATCACTCTTCTTTTTCATCATCTTTGTCCCCTTCTCCTAAACACATATCAGTTTCTCTTCTTTTTCAATAGAGTATGAATTTCGAGTCCATAACGGTAATGTTTCTTTAAAATTATAAAAGTAATTTTTTGTGTGCTTATTTTTCTATATTTTATTCAGGTTGTTGGTTCATAATTCTGAACGTGATGTGTGGTACATATGGGGGTCAGAAGGTTCCTTCCATCTTCATAAGGCTACATTTTCAAACTTCAGTTTGATAATTTAGATCATTGACATCATGCCAAGTTATTATTTTTCTGTTTACTTTTCGAATTGAGTACTATGGAAGAAGTATCGTACATTTAGTATGAATAAGAAGAAAGGTTTGATTTTTGTGTGTGATGTTAACTTTATCTTCCGCATGATCTTTGTCAAGAAGGACCGGCTATTTAAAATGCCACATGACAGAAATGTTACGCTGCTCCCACTCAGTTAACGCCTTTCAATGTCGTTTCTCTAAGAGTCACTGTCGACCTTCTTCTGATGATGGGAGCTGGATGAAACGACATTAGATATCATATAGCTATGGAACTTAAGAGAGTCTTATCTCCGAGTCATTTTCGTAAAGTTTGACTATAACATCATCATTCTCCACCCATGCCTCATCTTGCTTATGGGTTTGAAGCCGGCGGTTTTTTTAGTCAGAAGATGCATCAAAGCTTTGAAGCTAACTTTTCATTCTAGCTATAAGAACTCTGGGCACAGCAGTAGTGTATGATTGTAGCCAAAACGTTCTGAGATTTCAAACCAATACTATGGAAAAGCATGGTTAAGAGTATAACACAAAGCACCTGTTTTCAGTCCTTTCTCTTTCTTAGCTAATAGGTGTGATT